TCTCTTGCTAAGACAGGGTTGTGTGTGTGTGTATTACAGATAAGGACTACCTGTATATCTGTCTCTTGCTAAGACAGGGTTGTGTGTGTGTGTATTACAGAGAAGGAATACCTGACCTTTCGGGAGTTTGATGCATTCATGCGGGACGTATTAGAGGCGCAGATTGTCGAGGACCGATACCTCAAGGACGTTTTTGCTTCCATGGATGAAAATGGGGACGGACACGCAACGCATGATGAAATAGCAAAAGCTCTCGGGATCTCCTTAGATGTTGCTTTAGAAATGATCGGAGACGCAGATAAAAATGGCGACGGAAAACTTAATTTTAAAGGTGAGTATGCATTTTAACAGTGGTTGTTTTCAAAATTATCCGAAGAAGTAAGAATGGTATACGGAGTCTTCATAATTACACACGGAACTACTAGTATGACAACTGTAATCTGAATCATAAAAGATAAACATAACACACACACACACACACACACACACACACACAACACACACACACACACATACAACACACAACACACACACACACACACACACGTGATTGCACCTTTAAAATTAACAATAAGTACACTATGCCTAAAGGAATCCCGCTGCATCCTATAGCCGTTTCGTCATTTTAGGACTCGTCGGTGATGCTAGGGAACAAAAAGTTTATTACAAAACTATCTAAATTACTTTATCACATACAGTTGTAGGTGACACAAGGAAAAGTTAAAACAATGAATCTGAATCCGTAAATTAAGGAAATGACAAATTCACAATAACTCTGGTCCTTTTTTGCACTTTACTTTATAAGATGGACAAGGAAACATCACTTTCTTCTTTATATAGACTTATAAGGAACAAAATATGTTGCCATCTTAAAAAAGTCTCCCAAATAAATTCAAACTAAACAAAGGGAGAGAGAAATCCGTCAGATACTCAGTGGTTAGATATACCGCTTTTGTGTAGATTGTTTATCTTAATTATTCTCAATGCATTCAAAATAGCATTTTTCCTTAGAAAAGAGATAGCGCTTGTTCATATAAGTTTTCTGATTAAAGAAGAACAGATATATAGTGCGTTCTTAAACAACTATTTGAATGATTCTACCTTGATAAAAGACAGTACTTTTTTAAAGAAAGTTTTTGGGGAAAAATTGTCGAGATTTGCACTTTCTAATAAAATGCCTTATGTATGGGTGTAAAACGAAAATATTTTCTTAATATCATAAACCTAAAAGATGACAACTATGTTTACGTTTGATGGAGCTTCTCCGAGTGATGCTAACCTGACGAAAGACGGCACTTTCTTATAATAAAATCCTTTTCTTTATTATTTTAAGGAAAAATCAGGTAACGATTTCGTCGTTTGATACTTGAGCCTTTCCGTATGATTCTTACGGGACGACAAAGAGACTGCAGTGTCTTAAAAACTTCCTTGGGGGATTATTACTTGAAAAAAATGGCTCTTCCTCATAGAAAAATATTTTTCTTTAAGGTGGTAGCTGATCACTATTCTATCGACATTTTCTCTAGTGAGTTGAAAATCCTGTCTTTTGTTGTTTCTAAAGTTCATTCCTTTATTGAAAAAAGACAGATAATGATTGCATTGAAATTTTGTTGTTGGAGATTTTCAGTAAATGTTAAATCGAAAAAATAAAAACTTACTTTGACATCGAGGGCGTACAGCGTTTTAACATCGAGGGCGTACAGCGTTTTATCCCTTGATGCATTGATGTTGAGGGATAATTACCCGTTCTTTCTGTTTCCTGGAGAACCTGGTAGTTACCTTTTATTTTGATCCACTATCAATAAAGCTGAGCTATGCGGTATAATTGTTTTTATTCCTCTGTGACAGAAATGGATTAGGATGATCTACACTATTGTTTACGGTACCCAATACATCACTGTGGTGGACTGTCACTAAGGATGCTAAAGGTGAAGACGAGAGTCGATCATTGTCTAACATGGTTCCATGTCATATGCCAAAGCCGGTACCTGGATCCATACTTGATAGAGTATCCCATTACCACTTTCACTATTAAAAAATCTTTAAGTCTTTCTCAAAAAAGTTATTCCATAAAGAGGCGATGTTGTGTTGCGTTTTGCAGAGTTATAGTTGTTTTGAATTTGAATGTTTGAAAACAGAAATAGAAAATTATGAAAATCAGAAAGAAAATAACTCATGACTTTTTACATTACAAAATCTGCACTTTACCAGTGTTGGCGTCCAATAAATAGACAATAATAGAAAGAAAGGGGGGGGGGGGGGGGGGAATAAACATTTTCATTTAATGCAATACGTAGTAAGAAAACGCGTATTTCTTTCCAAATAAAATATCATTACACGTTTATTATCACTGGCGTTTGTGATATAAAAAATGAATATTTTCATTGTATTAAAAATATTATTTGTTAGATCTGTTATTCTCTGTATTTAACTGGTACTAATTATTTCGCACTTATGAAAGCACATCAATACTTATATTCTGAAACACTTGTGAAACATACATCGTTATCGAAACGTAATCTTTACATGCCCTAATCTATCTTTCCACCTATCAAAAATTCCGTACTACAAGGCTAGAATAAATCTATCAATTCGAAATTCGTTCACTTCTATTATTTTCGCTATATATTATTCCACGTCTTTCTTTTTGTCCGCTGTTGTTTTGAAGCATTTTTCTTGGACAAACTTGAACGTTTGTCCTTGTTAATCCCGATATTTTTTATAGTGGTTGTCGATAGTAATGTCAGAACTATTTTAGGTACACAATGCGACCGAAATACTTACATAACAACAAGCTTTTCGTAATCTTACGTCGCAAATATCACGAATCTATTCCGCTGATAGCCACATTTAAATGTACGATCTTCTATAGATATTCTTTGGCACGTTACAATTACAGTATCAACAACACGAGACAAAAAACAAGTACAGTTGCGTTAGTCTCCCTAACCAGTAATTAAGCTTTTTCTGTCACGGCAGATCAACTCAAGTAACCTCTATAACTGTAGATATGGCTGTTTGTGAGATAGTGACGGCGTTAAACCGTGTAGTATAATCTATAACTGTATGTATGGCTGTCTGGGGGATGGTGACGGCGTTAAACCGTGTAGTATAATCTATAACTGTATGTATGGCTGTCTGAGAGATAGTGACGGCGTTAAACCGTGTAGTATAATCTATAACTGTATGTATGGCTGTCTGAGAGATAGTGACGGCGTTAAACCGTGTTTAGTATCCCCTATAACTGTAGGTATGACTGTCTGTGTGATAGTGACGGCGTTAAACCTTGTACATGTAGTATCCTCTATAACTGTAGCTATGACTGTCTGGGTGATAGTGACGGCGATAAGCCGTGTTAGATAAGGAAATTTACGTAATTTACTTAGAAACATTGCCAGGAATGCCCTTCCTTACGCATGTCTTATGGTATCATTTGGTTACACCGCACATTTTCGTGTTCTGATTAGCTGATGTTCTGCTGTATCTATTTGCCATCTTTACGCCTGTCTTAGATCCATTCCCATCCGTCATGGTTCTACCCGACCTGTAACGCCACTTTGAAGTAGGAACGGGCATTGCAGGCTGCTGATTAATTTAACAAGTGCACAACGTCCGTTTTTATACTGTTTTTTTTCAATTCATTTATTAACTTTCGGCCTTACGGCCCATCAGTACAAACATATCAATACAATGCATAATATACACAATAACACGGCTCACAATATACAGTGAGAGAGTGGAGTAAATAAATTAGATTCTTAACTTATTAGCTTCAAAAATATATTTACCAAGTTGACATAATTCCTTAGTATTGTTAACACACAATAATTGTATAAATTTAAACATGGATGGCTTTTTCCAGTAGTACTTTTTAATAAGGCGACTTCTTAAGTTTTGGTAGGTTTTACATATCAGAATAAAATGGTATTCATCTTCGACTTCTGTAGCCGAATTACAGTTCGTACAATATCTCTGTTCTCGAATAACGTTGCGATATCTACCGGTCTCGATTGCTAATGAATGTGCAGACATTCGTAACTTTGTTAGACTAATTCTATAATTCTTAGGAATATATTTGGTTAAATAATACTGAATGGAAAAGTGGTCTACGATACACTTGTATAAAAAACACTTAGAGGAAGTCTCTAGTAAACCTCTTAAATGTTGTTGGCCTTGGTCAAAAATTCTTTGACGAATAAGCGGTAAAATTAATTTAACATTAGTCGACGATTGGCTTAACCATACATCACCAAAGCCCAAAGCAAATAATTCATTTTTTACATGGTGTACCCAGTTAAAGCAAGTACATGTAATCTGTTTTGATAAAAAAGAATATGCACAGTTCAGAATACAATTTTTCGAGTCGAGTAACTTAAACCAATACTTAATGATTCTGTATTTTCTGATACATTCTAAAGGCAAGCGACCAAGTTCGAAATATACCATTGCATTACATGTGGATTTTTTAACTTTGAGGAGTCTCTTACAGAAATTCAAGTGCACATTCTCAATGTCTATTCCTTTTATGGATCCCCATACTTCACATGCGTAACTTAATATGCTAATAACATATGTATCGAACAAATGTAACATGGTCTTAAAATTAAGACTAAGATTGGAGCATTTTGATAATAAAGCAAACATAGCTTTACGACCTTGGTCAGCTAATTGTTTCTGAATACTATTGAACTTATTGTTAAACTTAAATTGCACACCTAGGTATGTAAATTGATCAACACAACTAACCGTTTTGCCATTATAAAACCAAATTTCATTATTTCGAACTTTCCCGCCTTTTCGAAAAACCACAATTTTTGTCTTATCAATATTGACAGTTAATTTCCATTTCTCAGAATAACTAGCTTAATACGACAAGTTGAGGCCTTTGGCGATGTCTTCACAGTTTTAATTAAAATGTTTGTATTGCATGGTTGTTCTAATTAGCAATCAATTTATAGTGTTGTTTTTAGATCAAACCAATTGTTAGTGAACTATAATTTAATTGATTGGATGTATTGGTGTGAGGTGGTCTTTATTCGCGTTTACATTAATTGATGACATATTGTTTTAATTTAACAATGTATTATGCTACTTGAACCATGTATGAAAGCGAAGTAAAAACTACAACTTCGTTAAAAACTAATTACATTGAGAATAAAAACACATTGTTATTATCGATATTATAAAACCTACACTGTACACAAAACACTATAGCGTGATTTATTTCTGATAACAGATGTTTACTAGATATACTCTTTACTTATAACCAAACATATACAAAAATTGTAGAATTTATTTTTGCCTAATAAAAACGGTGAGTTTTGCTTATGTTCAGTTTTAACTACACCAATGTTCTATAAGCAATACCACACTTATGAATAATAATAGATCATGTTTTACCCGTGAACGGGAAGTTGGATATAAATCATGGGAAAAGTTAAGGTAAAATGAAAAAGAAAAAGAAAACAAAACTAAAGCAGATTTAAACCCGAACGTATGTGATACAAGAAGCCCGCCGCATGAACCACTACACCAACGATTCCATATAAGAGCTCCAGGAACAGAAATACATTTAATCTTCTAGCCGAACTTTCGAGTCTTTCGTCAAATAAAGTAGAATTCTGTGTTTCGGGTTACGTAAGGAACAAATGAGAAGACGTCAAGTTAGTCATGGACCAGGTCTATAAAAGTTTTATGCATCTTGCGTTAAGTGGAATGTTTAATCTTGATCTTAAGGGTTTTTTTCAGTTTTGTTGTCTCCCTTTTTGTGTTATTTTATAGCAATGTTGAGTTTATATATATTCCGCAATGTGTGTCTTTGTCTGAAGAGTTTTGTTTCTTCTGTTTCAGAATTCACTGAATTATACCGAAGGCAGAATGACTAGACCTTTCATTGCCATGTATGACGGGCCTACGCGTGGTGTTCAGTACAACAGGAGAACGCCCTCCACTGATCATCACTTCTTTATTGCTTACCTTTACATGGTTGCATGCGTGTCAATTATCAATTTGTTTCAAGTTATGTTGCGTTATCGTGTACCACAGTTGAATCAGTCTTTCTTATATATATATATATATACATTTACATTAGGAGAGATTCATGTTTTATGTCAAGTATTTCAAGGCAATAGAAAGTATATGTGCATGTAGATAGAAAACAGTTGAAATACGGCTTCATCTCAATTAAAAACGTCATTGTCATTGTCAAAAAATACCATGTAAAATGTCAATACTGCGTTGTTCGATATATATGTGTATGATGTGCGATAAAGTCGTTTATTAAAAGTTTGATAACTTTATTATGGACTCGTTTTTCCTTATTAATCAAATACCTGATTCTGTAACTTTTGTTCCAATACGCCTATCGACTCAACGTTACAAATTGGCAGAACAAAAACGTAAGGAACATGCATGTTCCGATACAATGATTGGTTCATACAAAAACACACCGGCTGTTCACAAACGTGACATTGCGACGTCACAAATAATGCTTCAATATTTATAATTGTTACGTTATCAATAATGAGCTCACTGAGTGACGTCATGATGATATCGGAGATGATCACTAGATACAACTAGACTATAAAGTTTTCATATTGTCATAACGAGTACTCCGAATGTCTCCGACAAGAAGATTAATAGAAAAGCTAGGGGATTTCAAAACAATAGGTGGTAGAATAAGTTGTTGACTATTACTATTAAACTTATATTCGGCAAAACCGAATTCCGAAAACCGTGGAGAAACTAAACTAACATTACTTATACATAAAGAATGGACAAAGAAACTCCACCGCTTGTGGAGGAGAGTTGTAACAGAGATATACAATCCAGAGAAAGTCAAATCTCAATCCAGAAAGGATGTTAGAACCGCGGGTCTTAGCAGGGATTCAGTCAGGTGAAACAAAACAGCAGTCTTAGCTGTGATTCAGTCAGGTGAAACAAAACAGCAACTGCGGGTCTTAGCTGTAATTCAGTCAGGTGAAACAAAACAGCAGTCTAAGCAGTAATTCAGGCAGGTGAAACAAAACAGCAGTCTAAGCAGTGATTCAGTCAGGTGAAACAAAACAGCAGTCTTAGCAGTGATTCAGTCAGGTGAAACACAACAGCAGTCTTAGCTGTGATTCAGTCAGGGGAAACAAAACAGCAGTCTAAGCAGTGATTCAGTCAGGTGAAACAATAAAGCAGTCTAAGCAGTGATCAGTCAGGTGAAACAAAACAGCAGTCTAAGCAGTGATTCAGTCAGGTGAAACAAAACAGCAGTCTAAGCAGTGATTCAGTCAGGTGAAACAAAACAGCAGTCTAAGCTGTGATTCAGTCATGTGAAACAAAACAGCAGTCTTAGCAGTGATTCAGTCAGGTGAAACAAAACAGCAGTCTTAGCTGTGATTCAGTCATGTGAAACAAAACAGCAGTCTTAGCAGTGATTCAGTCAGGTGAAACAAAACAGCAGTCTTAGCTGTGATTCAGTCAGGTGAAACAAAACAGCAGTCTTAGCTGTGATTCAGTCATGTGAAACAAAACAGCAGTTTTAGCAGTGATTCAGTCAGGTGAAACAAAACAGCAGTCTTAGCAGTGATTCAATCAGGTGAAACAAAACAGCAGTCTAAGCAGTGATTCAGACAGGTGAAACAAAACAGCAGTCTAAGCAGTGATTCAGTCAGGTGAAACAAAACAGCAGTCTAAGCAGTGATTCAGTCAGGTGAAACAAAACAGCAGTCT